GGTACCCCTTCAGATCTGTCTCGTATACACATCTCATTAATATATCCTGAAAATTTATTGAAATCCGTCGACGCTTTTCTTGTTGCTTTAACTGATTACAAATAATGACAAGCAGTCACGATATACGCATTTAAATGTTTTATTAAAATGGAAATGTTTACCAACGTAAAACAGCCCGATGGATTTCGTACAATAAAATTAATTTATAAGTGGTAAAATTAATTCAGAAGTAAAGCCTGATAAGGGAAAGCTTTTTCCCAGGCTGCTGATTAAGAGAGGTGTTTGGGCGCGATAAGAGCACTCGAGTTGGAGGACTTTTTTATCAAGATCACTCAAGAACAGTATCCTTAATTGATCAGACACTCGAAATGGTATAGTGTAACGCGGCACGAGATAAGGGTGTTCCCAGGTTGGAAACGGCGGCACACGTACTTCCGGCGAAGCTGTTGCACAGGAGGTGTTCTAATCAGAGGAGATAAGAAGAATTGTGGCTTTTCGTTGCCGAAAGGACCGCCATCCAGAGATTAAAACGAGCTCCGAAGAAACAATCCGAGGATAAAAGAATACTGAAGAGTATCGTAAAACAGATTAAGTTCAGGATTAACGTTGCCACTACGATTTATCTTGCAAGCTACGAAAAGTTCTTCCCTCAATGACGAACGGATAAAAAACAGTCTAGCAATATCTACGAACAAAATACTAAAACACTTCGGATGAATTATATCAATTATTATTATTATAGTAATAATGATTACCTAATTATGACAGAATTAAATTCTACTTTTTGATCGATGTTTTACTGTATGTAAATAAATTGCAAATATGCAGAAACAAGTATGTCACTCAGTTATTTAATGTCGAAATCGTGCTTATTCAGCAGCGTTGCGTGTTTCAAAATACGCGTGATTTTGAAATCAAACCGAGCAGGAGACTCCTTTAAAAGCGAGCCCCGATTCTCACTGGCATCGCAGTCTGAAGAAGCATTCCGACAATGAAAACCTGTATCGCAGTTATTTTGTTGGGCCTGGTGGTTGCCCAGGCTCTCCCGACGGAGAAGAAGATCGAGAAGTCGTTGAAGAAGGACGATTTGAAGATCGAGGAAACTGGTGAGGACGCGGACAGATCGAAGAAGTCCATCATTTGTCTGGATCAGCCCAACGTGGTGCCCCAGATGCAGTCTTTCAGCATCCAAGCTGCGCCGCAGCCGATGCAGACTCTCAGCATCCAACCGGCGCAACAACTCCAGACTCTGAACATTCAACCAGCCGTTCAACCCGTCCAGACGCTCAGCATCCAACAAGCTCCACAGCCGGTTCAAACTCTGAACATTCAGCCAGCACAGCCGATGATCCAACCTCAAGCTGTGATTTCTCAGCCAATGATCCAACCTCAATCTCAGCAGATACACATGGTCCAACCGCAAGTGCAGGTGCAACCTCAACCTCAGCAGATACACATGGTCCAACCGCAAGTGCAAGTTCAACCGCAAGTGCAAGTTCAACCGCAAGTGCAGATTCAACCTCAGCCCATAATGTCTCAGCCGATGCAGTCGTACGTCGAGGTCGTACCATCCCAGCAGGTGCCTTGCCAGACGAACGTGAACATCGTTCAACCAGTGAAACAGGAGAAATCTCAGGTGGAAATCGTTCCCAACAAGATGGTCAGGCCTGAACCCAAGCCGGAGAAAATCATTCAAAAAGTGGAGAAGGAGATTTCCCGGCCTGTGGCACCTCTTTACAGAGAAGAGATGATGGTGGTCCCACGACCGATGCCGCAACCAAGACCATTCATGATAGTGGAACCACAACCGATGACTTTCGCCCCAGCTGCCCCTGTTTGCAACCAGTGTCAGCAGTCGCTGTTGCAGTGCAGCTGCAGAGCCCAGAATCTTAACAGTATGATGGCCGAGCCACAGATGCATATGATGACTCTAAAACGCCCCATGGGTGTTACGATGGATCACCATATGTATTCCATGTAAACCGTAAGTTTCACTTATCGTTAGATCTCTCATGTCATGGAATTTCATTTTTTATCCTGTGTTTAATTTTTCATTCATTATTTTATTGTGCAGTTTTAATTGGAGATCGAGGACCCTGGAATCGATGGACCAAGATCAAATTCAAGAAACTATAAATGTACTATGAATAAAAATTTATAAAATCATATTGAATCCATTTTTTTTTTGGATACCATTCAGTCCTTCCATTTTTTTTTTTTTTTGATACCATTCAGACCTTCCTGTCCTAATCTAATGTTCTATCATTGAGTATCTTTCTGTTCTATTCTAAATTTGAATACCTAATCGATTTCTTATCTCAGAAGTAAGAAACAGAAGTTTGTTGATAGACAGTTTCTTGATTAAGCTATTTAAAGTCTGGCAACAGTTTCGATCTACCTAAATAAATGTAAATTACAATTTCAGCAGTTCTGAAGTCTTGAAATTGAACATCGCTCGTAGCAATTATTCATTAAAATATTGCATATTCCCATTTGATTATTCAAACCATTATTTTTCCAATGCACCCGAAGACTCCTAATCAGAGTCGTTTCTTTTTAATCAGCTAACCTGCTAACCTTTTAGAATTTGGCACGCCCATAGTTGGACTCGCCGGGGCCAGGATGCGTGTGCGTGCGCGCGTGTCTGCCGATGGTTCACCGTTTGATTATTCACGCGCGACGAACGCGAGGCTTGACCACAGAATTTAAAGGATTCATCCGCGGGCCCAGAAGGTTACGGCGCGTGATACGTAATTTTCTGTCAACGCTAAGCGTCGACGTGTCCGATCAACGGCTACCCGGGTTCGCTCCACGCAGTCTTTTGTTCGCCGGCTGTCGAGATTATGGATGGCCGCGTTCCCACCGGAGGAGAATACGCTCGGTTATACACGACGCGTCAAGTCAAACCCTCCGCGTTCCGTGAAATTTACCGATCGATCGATCCGCCCTTTGTTTCGATTTAATCAACCAGCCTCATGCCACAATTTTCTACTTTGCGCTTTTCCCCGTTTTAGGTCCGCAATTTTTTATATAGAATAGAACCAATTTTTTATATAGAATAGAACCAATTTTCAATGCACGAAAAAATATGTAACGTTTGTTTGTATAAACCAATGATTGTCTATATTTTTTTCATACACTTCTAATATTTTAAAAATTGTATAATAATTAAGATAAATTACAATAGTTTTATTTGAAGATCTTTAGAAGATTGAAAATTTTTATAGAAGATCCTAACTTGATAAATTGATATTTGGACTCAATGCAGTGCCAATTGATAATCAAATTTAAAAAAGAAATGAATAATTTTCATTTTAGGAAGGGAAACTTTCTATGATTGAGAATCACTGGCATAGATAATAATTAACAGCAGAACTACCAAAAATAAACGACTGGTTTCGAATGGATAAATGCATATATAAAAAAAAGAGCTTTACATTATATGCCTGTGTACATTAGAACTATTATTAGAGTAAACATAAAACCACAGTAGAGAATAGAATTCTTTCAATTAACCATTCGCAGGCTTGTCCATCACCGGGCGAGGCTTAAGACCGAATTTACATTTTCATTTGCATTTATATTGTTCCTTCGGCGTGTAATTACCGCGGCAAAATAAACTTAACTGGCCGATGGGACGCGACGACGACGACGACGGCGACGGGTTGCAACGGAGAATCGTTCTCACTTCGCCACGATTATTATTCATGGCCGCGTCCTGAACACCGAGGAACTCGGTCTCCAACTACCTAGTAGTGGCTCTCCTACGTACTCCCTGAAAAATGTAAGCAACTTCTCGATTTTAAAACCGAACCGCATCGAGCATTCGTTTGGAACTTTTCCAATTTTCATGCCAGAATTCTGTACCTTTGGGTAAAAAAATGCAGTTTCTTGTAATCATACTGCAGATTTTTGTTCATTAAATATAATGAAACCGAATGGCAATAATATTCTTTGATATTCAGTATTAAAGTCACAGATTTTATTTTCGAATTTATACAATTGGTTTGTTGAAAAATCCGTGTTCTATTCACAATATATTGGAATGGGAATTTTGTCGGATGATTGGAACCAGAAATTACATGACCACAACTTCCGTTTCTCAAGCGGAAGCCATCGAGGGACTTGATCGATCAATTTCGATCGTAGATTGCTAATATTCCGAGTAAACGCATGACCGCAAGGTTCTGTTTGGTCATTATGCCGAGACGCGGACGGGAAATTGCGGAGGTCGCAAGGGACCGGCTAGAAGTAACTCGAGTTTACTCCCGATGGAGGAACAAAGAACTTCTAAATGCACTCCCTCGGTAAATGCTATAAGCACGTGTTTCTTGTCAGCCAATAAAGGGATCCTCATAAATAATACAATCGTTTTAACAAAGCGGGCAGCAAAGCACAAAGCAATGCAGAAACAGAAACGTAAAACGTTAATGCAATTCAACATGAAGAATAAGTATAAAAAATATGATAAGATTAATCGAGAATAGCAGTCTTGTTCATCTCATTAGAAGTCCTTCTCTGGTTTTAATAGGAATGATTGACGATGAACGAAATAATTCATCGATTAGTTCTGAAGTATTTGAGATAAAAAAATTGTATAGGACCTTTTTTTGCAGGTAATAGCAATACCTACAACTTTTATTTAAAGCATTCTTCGAAATTCCGAGAAAAAAAAATTTTCCATTTTCCCGAGATTTTTCCAAGGGGTACCCCTTCAGATTTCTCGAAATTTTCGTTTTTTGCCAATAACTCCCAAACTGTTGCAGATACGGGAAAATTGCAAGAGACCTTTTTTGTAGAGGGCGACGAGATCTACAATTTCTATATAAAAACTTTTTGATAGCATCAATAGTTTACGAGTAATTTACAAAAAACTGATTTTTCGTTTTTCGTCAATAACTCGTAAACTATAAACGAGATAAAATTTCTAATTCTAGTTATCAGAATGCAATTCTTTTCGACTCTTTAACAATATCTCCTCGTTGGCCAGGCGTAAATTTCTCTTGTTTTCCTTCTTCTCGTGAGATTCGTCGTCATCTACGCGAGCGGCGCTGCGCCACCGACGGAATGCAAATAATTCCGTAACCTATTTCTCCTGCCCGTTCATCCGGCTTTTCGGGACGCTTTACCACATATTTGCCATACGTGCCGTTCGGCGAAATCAGGGAGATGGCGAAATCAGAAACGTAGCCGCGGCCCAGGAATGCATCGGATGTGACGAGCTGTCTATGAAATCAACAGGATCTACACAGTCCCCCGCGTTATCTGCCCCGCAAATCCCCCGCAATGTCGCTCCTATGCGTTAGAATCACATTTCTCTTCCCTTTATTCTGCTTACACGTGCATGTTGCTTTTCCTCGTTGCAAATCCGTCAGATTTTCAGATAACCGAATCCTCCATTCAGTGGATTCGTGCATCTCGAACTTCCAATAGGAATCCACATAGACTTGTTCGATTTTATATCAATCAAATGATTTTATCATTAACCCATTCGCTGGCAAGGACGAGTATACTCGTCTTTGGCAGGGTGTCACGCATTGCCAGGACGAGTATACTCGTCCTGCTTTAAATATATTATAACATGCAGGCTCTTTTGAA